CTTTGAGGCAGGAAAAAACACGCAGACACCATGAATCGTCGATTCCCCAGAAAATATGGGAAAACATGGGGAATGGGGGGGAGACGAAAATCCCGAAAATATTGAAAATATGGAGGGAGGAGGAGGAGGAGGAGGAGGAGGAGGAGGAGGAGGAGGAGGTACTTGTGTCTATTTGTTTGCGTGTCCCAGGGCCCCTTCAAGCTTCTTCTGTGTGAATCGAAGAAAAAGCATAAGCGTAAGCTTTTGGCGCTCCGCGCTCAGGCGCCGCCCCTGGCGCGCTCCGCGCGCCAGGGAGGGGGGTCCGGCGCGGATCCAAGAAATCCGCGCGGAGCGCCAAAAGTTCATGTTTCTGCCGTTTCTTTTCTAGTTCATTGATTCGGGAATGTCGTGCCACCTTGGAGCCCTCTGGGGCTTCCCTGGGAGCCCCCTGCGAGCTTCCCTGGCGATTCCGGCACCTGTTTCGCGAGCCCGTCGACCGCCCAATCAGGAGCCCCTCAGGCGTCCGGGAGAGCCTCCGAATGCAGCACAACATCTGGCAGCACGGCACGTCCGGCCCGACAGCAGCAGCAGCCTGTAGCTACGAGCGCACTCGGAGAGCGTCCCGATGGTTTTTTGTGCGCTCCGGAGCGCTGCACTGCGAGCAGCAACAGCTCGGAGTACGGAGCGCACTCGGAGTGCTGCAGCCACGAGCAGCAACAGCGCGCAGCAGCGGCACGCAAGCACAATTAGCGAGCGTCCGCAGCAGGGGCAGCGCGCAGCAGCATGCAGCAGCGTGCGCGGCATGCGCAGTTCGAGCCCCGCGCCATCATGTCAGCCTTCGGGCAGCAGGTCCATCAGCACGCACGAGCTCGTCGTGCAGAGTTCGTGGGCGTGGTCCACGGGTCAACCCTATAGTCTCTCCTACTACATGCCTGGAGAAAGCCTGTGCGGGAAGGGACACGGTCAAGTATCCCGAATCGGCCTCGGCGGGCCCCTGGCGCGGCCTCGGCGGGCCCTTTGGCGCCCCTGGCGCGGCCCCGCGTGCCGCCGGAGGAGCCCAAAGCGGCCCAAGAGAGACCCAAGACGGCGCGAGAGAGCCCCCAGGGGACCCCAGGCCCCAGGAGCCCCCAGTCGGGCCTAAGAGCCGCCCAGGAGGGCTCACAGAGAGCTCCGATACAGCCCAGCATTCCCAATCTGGCCCCAACACGGCCCCAGAGGCCGTCCAGATGGGCCGCGGCAAACGAAATCGTTGTTTTTTCCTATGGTTCTGGAGAGGTTCCCACATTCTCGCCATTGCGAGCCAAGACCAGCACAAGACGGCCGCTGGGGCCCCCCCGAACTTTCCAAGGCCGTCCATGAGGATCCATAAAGAGCCCCACAACCACACAGGGGGCTCCAAGCTGGGCCAAGAGGCGCCCAAGATTGCCGAAGCGCCGCTCAAGACGGCCCGACGACAGCCCGAGAGGCGCCCAAGACTTTTCAAAACTGACCAAAACTGCACATGAGGCGCACAAGACGGCCCCAAGCCACCCTCAAGACCCCATAGAAGGCCGGAGGATACCTCCCAGCCCGAGGCTAGACGACGCGGGCGAAGTCTACGGGTTCGCCCTAGTCAGCTACAGCGCTATGATCAGCGCGTGCGAGAAGGGTGGGTAGTGGCATCGGCCCCTGGCGCTGCTTGGCGACATGATGCATGCGAAGATGGAGCCCGACGTCATCAGTTACGGTCAGCGCGTGTGAGAAGGGCAGTCAGTGGCAGCGGGCTTTGGCACTGCTCAGGGAGATGAGGGAGGCGAAGATGGAGCCCGACGTCATCGGTTACGGCGCTGGGCTCACCGCGTGCAAGAAGGGCGGACAGTGGCAGCAGGCAGTGAGTATGTTCAGGAACATGCGGTTGATACAAATGTGCGTCAGTTTGATTGCGTACGGAATTACAACCAGCATGTGTGAGCAAGGCGGGCAAGGGATGCAGGTGATGTCATTGCTCAGGGTCCTTGCTCAGGGAGGTGCTTGGCTTCTTGACTGAGACATGGCACAATGCATATGTACATTCTCCCCCAAGGTGCTCGTCTAGTTCCTAGAAGATCTGGCGGGCGAATCTGGAGCTGGATGCTTTCCGAAACAGGTCTGGTTTCAGTACGTCCGCGATGGGATGACAGTGACAGCCTGCTCTGGTGGTTGCTTTGCGACATTTTGGGTGGAGTGGGCGATTGTCTGATCCCGACTTCATCCGCATTATAATTCGAAGGCCACCGCGTACGAGACGGCTGCTCAGTGGCACCGTATTGTCTCGCTGCTCAGCATGTTTTCATTTCCGAACACGATGTTCAACGCCATCGGCAGTGACAATGCCGTCGCCAGCGGGTGTTTCAGGGGCGGGCAGAGGTCGGAAGCCTTGTCGCTACTCAGGGAATGGGGGAATTGAAGCTTGAGACGGCGAGCGTCAGCAACAATGTCTGCTACAGGGCGTACGCCAAGGGTTGGCAGTGGCTAGAAGCGCTGTCTCTGGCCAGGGGGATCGTGAAAGTGATGTTGGCAATCGGCGCGTGCGAAACGGGTTGGGATCAGCTATGGCTACGTTGCCAGTGGCAGTCCGTCAGAACAGGGCGGGCGGTGGCTAGATGCCCCTTCACTGCACAAGGAGGATCTGGGAAACCGAAGGTGGAGCTAGGCATCGCGACCTTGCAGAGCTGGCATCGGCATCTCTGTGCGATTGAATAGGGGTGGCCTGGCTCAGCAGTTCATTTCACTTGTACACAATGGCAGCAGCATGCTGACGTTGGGTCTGGCTCTGCGCGGCAGTCTAACACACACACACACACAACAACAACAACAACAACAACAACAACAACAACAACAACAACAACAACAACAACAACAACAACAATTACTAGCACGTGGGGACACTCCGTTCTCACCAGTGCCAGGGTTTTCATAGGAGGCGGGCAATACCCCCACTTTGTGGGGGGGCCGGTTCAAGCTCTACCAAATTTCCAAACGACTCTTCGCCACCACCCACACCCAGCTTCCCGCCCTATGACGTTCGGACACTTCACTTCGTGGCATGCGGACGACCGTGGCTACTATTCAGGGCCCCGCGGCCGACGACGACGGCGTGCGCGCGCGAAGAAAAAACGAATGTGTCCCGCATGGTATTATTTGACAGGGATGATGGCCCTGGCAGGTGCGCAACCGTTGTTGCAGAAGTTCGAAAAAGTTGCTCGCAAAAGCCCGTTTGACAGAAATGTTTAAAAAAGTGTTGAGTTTCCTACGAATCCGCAAGAGCGCGCGGGATGAAATTTTGACATTTTTTTTTTTTTGAAAAACCATGTTTTTTGATGTTTTTATTGAAAAATCGCTACGAAAACTAAGGTTTTGGAAGGATTTCGTCTTGCGCGGGCGAATGTCCACTTTACCTTGTTTTTTGCAAGGGATTCTTGAAGTTTGATTATGTTAGAACAAGAAATGTCCACTTTAGCTTATTTTTTGCAAGGGAGAGCGGGGGACAACAAAACAACCGGATCTGGACCAACCCGTTTTGCATGAGACTTCCTCACGAAAATGATGAAAATGAGGCTGCGGCCTAGGCGCGGCGGGGGGGGCGCGCACCAGGGGCCCCAACAATAATTATTCTTAAGAAGAAAATAATGTTCAACAGCAACAACAACAACAACAACAACAACAACAACAACAACAACAACAACAACAACAACAACAACAACAACAACACAACAACAACAACAACAACAACAACAACAACAACAACAACAACAACAAACACACATGCACGCCACGCTTGCTGACCTTGCCTCCGGCCCCTCGGCTTATCTCTCCTGCCCGTTGGGAAAACCATGAGAGGCCGGCGCTCCCTTGCACCGCCTGCTCGAAGCGCCCGCCCACGTACAGCTGCGCGAGCCGCCAGCAAACACCGGCAGACCACCGAGTGGGGCCCTCGGTAATCGGGGGCGGAAAAGAGGTGAGTGATGACTAGGGGGGGTGGACATCATGGCGTGGGCCATGATTTTTCCTCAGATCTCATGGCGCCTCTTCTTATTTCATTACGTCCCAGGGCCCCCCGGTGGGCCGCGCACATGCCGCCGGTCATGATTTGCACGGACACCCCCCTCTTGGCCGCTCCCGAGGTAAGCATGGCTGTTAGTTCCACGCGATCCAGGCCGCAATTGGCCGAATAGCTCAGAATTGGGAGCCTGGAGATTGAGAGTCGGGGAACACGGCCTTCTACCGAAAGCGGCAGGCAATCCCAACCAACTCTGCACAATATCCGCGAGAATGTCTGACGGTGCAACCGCTGATTGGTCAACAAATTGCCGATACGACCACGTATTGCACAGAGTTGTAGTTCCCAGTGGGCACGCTTCAAGTAGACAATGGCTTTGGCCAGCAATGGGCTCCAGCATGTCTTTATAACGGTGGTTATTCGAGCATTCTTGGGCGATCCGCTGGCAACTAGCCTCGTCCTGCGAGAAGATGTTTCCAGCACGCATTGTCTGGCTTCTTGCAGCGCGCGGGGCAGAGGCCGCAGAATCTCACGCACAATGCAGGATCGTCTTTCTTGTAACGTATCTTTCAGGCGTCGCAGCAAAATTGAATGGTTGAACCTTGCGCGGGGCCATGTCGGGATAAATAGTGTAGGTCTGACAGATGGGGTCACGACGAATTGCGAATTCGATGCACGGGTGCGAAGCAATATTTACGACATAATCCGCCACCGACGGCGATGTCGATGACCAAGCACAGCCAATCGAGTTTTTGCCAAGCATGGGTCAACGGGATCATTGCTACTAGCCGACGCTGACCCGCATCTGAAATCAAACAAGTCGATGCACCATGCACAGGCACCCACCAGGCCAGATCTCAAGCTGACAGAATACTCCATCCTTCCTTCCATCACTCCGTTCCTGCGTTTCCCCCTTGTCGTCATCCGCCTCATTCGTAGTCCTGGCTCAGACTGTTTTTTTCTCGTCCAGTGAATTTCGGTCCGATTATGTCCACGATGTTAGATGTTAGACGTCTGGAGGGGATCTCGACCAGGTTTGTCTTCCCTGGATGCGGCTTTGAAGAAGTACGGGAAGGCAGCGCAATGGACTGCAGCTCTGCAGGTTTTCCGAGACGCGTCTCGATTAGGTGCAAAAGAGAACCCAGGACGAGTCGTAACGACAATTATGGCGCTCGGGAAAGGCAGGCAGTGGCAGCTGGCCCTTTCCCTTCTTCGGGAAATGTCTGAGGCGAAGGTTCAGGCCACCGTTATCAGCTATAGCGCCGGGATTACCGCGTGCGAAAGAAGCAAACAATGGCAGCAGGCTTTGGCGTTGCTCGGCGACATGCTGGCATCCACATTGGATCCCGACGTGATTGCCTACAGCGCTGGGATCAGCGCGTGCGAGAAAGGCGAGCAGTGGCAGCGGGCTTTGTGTCTGTTCAGCGAGATGTGGCAGGCGATCTTGGAACCCCGCGTAATCAGCTACAGCGCCGGGATCAGCGCATGCGAAAAGGGCAAGCAGTGGCAGCAGGCTCTGGCGCTGCTCAGCGACATGTTGGCGTCAAGATTGGAGCCCGACGCCATCTAGACTATATCACATGGAGTCGCGCGTGCGAGATTGGCTTGTTGTCTTCGCCTAGGCGGCGCCGCCGAGGCGTCTGTGCCCTGGCCGCGCCACCCTTACTGCGGGGAAGGGATGACAGGGAGGGGGTTTCCCTTCGACTTGACTACGACCTGAAGTGGTTTCTTTCCGGCTGGCGACTGTGCAAGGCTCCACTCGGGCCGCCCCGACATGCTGGACGTTGCAGGGTCTCGCCCGGCCTCTCACACACGCCGACGGTGTCGGCGGGGTACAATACTCCAGCCTCCCCCCCTTCGGCCTTATCCGCGTCCAGGGCTTCTGTGGACGCTTCGGACGTTGGTTCATCGGAGCACGTGATACCCACCATTAGTTCACACAAAGGAGCTTCCCAGTCTTCTCTACAATACAGGGACCCGTGCGTGCGGGAAGTGTCCTTGTCTCAAATGCCCCACAACGGCTCCGGGTACGCCCCAGAGGCGTTCACGCGGCCCCAGAGGCGCCCAGGACGGCCCAAGAGGCGCCCAGGACGGCCCCACAGCCCCCAAAACGGCCGAAGAGCGCTCCAAGAAAGCTCAAGACCGCAGAAAACGGCCCCGACAAGGCCCAGGAAGCCTCCACGACGGCCCCAGAGACGCCCAAGAGGCGTCCCAGGATGGCCCCCACAGGCCCAAATCATTGTTTTTCCATAGAAAAAACGTGCAATTTTAGCATACACTGCTTGTCGGGCATATTTCGCAGAAGATGGGAGAAGAGGTCCCCACGACCGCCCCAAGACGCCCCTCAGAGGCACGAAAACCGGCCCGAGAGCGTCAAGAGACCCAAGAGGCGCCCAACACGGCCCCCAGGCGGCCCCAAGAGGCTCCCAGGAGGCGCCCAGGACGGCCCCAGGCACCCCCAAGACGGCCCCAGAGCGCTCCAAGAGAGCCCAAGACCCCCGAAAACAAACCCAAGACGGCCCAGGAGGCCTCCACGACGGCCCCAGAGACGCCTAAGAGGCGTCCCAGGATGGCCCCCACAGGCCCAAATCATTGTTTTCCCGAAGAAAAACGTTCAATTTTAGCATGCGGTGCTTGTCGGGCATATGGCGCAGAAGCTGGTTCAAGGTCCCCACGACCGCCCCAAGACGGCCCAAGAGGCCCCCAAGACGCACGAAAACCGGCCCGAGAGGGCGTCAAGAGAGCCCAAGAGGCGCCCAAAACGGCCCCAGGGCGACACCAAGACAGGCTCCCAGGACGGCCCAAGGTATCCCCAAGACGCTCCAAGAGCGCTCCACGACAAGCCAAGACTGCCTTTTGCGGCGCCAAGACGGTTCAAGACGCTCTACGACGGCCCAAGAGACGCCGAAGAGGCTACTAGGAGGGCCCCAGGAGGCCACAATTATCGTTTTCCCGACGGAAACCGTATACATGTCAGCATCTCTGGTTTTCCCGGTTTCATAGCGTAGACGACGGCCCAAGAGGCCCCCAACACCGCCCCAAGACGGCCCAGGAGGCTCCCACAGGGGAACGGAGCGTCAAGACATGTAGCCGAAGAGCCGCCCAAGACTGCCTGGCATGGCCGCAATACGGCCCCCAGAGCTTCCCAACACGGCCCAAGGTTCCCCCAAGACGGCCCCAGAGCGCTCCAAGAGGTGTCGAAGATAGCGGGGCGAGGTACCAGTGTGCCATTTCAGGTGCCTCCCTGAGCTCCTGCTCCTGCTCCTGCTCCTCCTCCTCCTCCTCCTCCTCCTCCTCCTCCTCCTCCTCCTCCTCCTCCTCCTCCTCCTCCCCCACCTCCTCCCCCTCCTCCTGCTCCTCCACGTCCTCCTCCTCATCCTGCTGCTGCCCCTCCTCCTCCTCCTCCTCCCTCCTCCTCCTCCTCCTCCCCTCCTCCTCCTCCTCCTCCTCCTCCTCCTCCTCCTCCTCCTCCTCCTCCTCCTCCTCCTCCCCCTCCCCCCCCCTCCCCCTCCCCCTGCTCCTCCTCCTCCTCCTTCTCCTCCTCCACATCCTCCACCTCCTCCTCCTCCTACTCCTCCAACTTCTTTTCACTCACCCCGCTTGCGAGAGCCCCCGAAACAGCACGCCTGAGAGGCGCGCGAAAGCCTTCCTGCACCATCTCCCCCCTTACCACGGAGCCCACATAAAAGAACAGATCGTGGCCAGTAGGCCACGGGTCAGCCCTAGTCATCTACAACGCTGGGATCAGCGCGTGCGAGAAAGGTAAACAATGGCAGCGGGCCCTGTCGCTGCTCAGCAAGATGAAGGAGACGGAAGTAGAACCCGACGTCACGAGCTACTGCGCTTTGATCAGCGCGTGCGGGAAAGGGGAGCAATGGCAGCGGGCTTTGTATCTGCTCAACGAGATGCGGGAGGCGAAGGTGGCGCCCGACGTCGTAAGCTACAGCGCCGGGGTCAGCGCGTGCGAGGTGGGCAAACAATGGCAGCAGGCTTTGGCGCTGATCAGCGACATGTCGCAGGCGACGTTGGAGCCGCACGTCATCTACACTACAGTCCGTGGAGCAGCGCGTGTGACAAGGGGAACTATGAGCGGGCTCTGTGGCGCTGGCCATGAACCTCTGAGCGCCGCTCGGGCAGGGCATCAGGTCAGCCGAGGGGGCTTCAAGGAGGAGCCCGCTGCCCAGGTCGTGCCCAAGACGCCCCTGGGTGGTGCCTCGCGGGCTCCCAGAAACCCCCTGCTCGTAGCCTCAGTCGAAGGGTCCAGCACTGACGCGGAGGTCTCCACAAGAGCCCGCGAGCACAATAGCCCTCAAGAGCAGCCAAGCCGCCCCGAAGAGACACCAGGTAACCCCGGGTGGCCTCCGACGGCCCCAAGACGGCTCCGAGACAGCCTGGAAGACCCCTCGGACGGTCCCGCATTTTTCAATAAGCCCCTCCAAGACCACCGAGTCCTGGAAATAATTCGGGAAACACCAGAACAGAGCCCCCAGAGCTCTCTAGAAAGCTCCGAGCATATCCAAAAGAGGCTCCAAGATGCAAGAACGCCTCACGAGAGCGCCTCAGAACGCCTCACGAGAGCGCCTCCTCCGACTCGAGAAGCTTCAAACCCCACGACTGGCACACGCACCCCTGCGCTTCAGTGTGGAGCCCGCGAGTGCGTACGTGTTCAGCGGCTGTCTGCAGCTCTAGCCTCAGGCCTCTGCCAACGTGCGGATTATGTCGCGCAGGTCTTGCTGTGATCAGCGAAGTCATAGGCGACTGCAGCCCTCAACGGCTCTTCTACATTGCCGGGCAACTTCGTATCCGAAGCCATCCTTGTCGTTGCTATCCCCGTTCTGGCACCAAACTCTTCAGCAGGGAACCAGCAGCAGCGGCCATGAGCACACGGCAGAAGCAAGGAGCAGCAAACAGCAGCAGTAGCACCCCGCAGCAAGCAACCGCGAGCAGCACAGGCCCGAGTAATAGCCACACCCCCCCGGCAAGCGGCAGCAAGCAGCAGCACTGGCACCATGCAGTACTCAGCAGCAGCACCCGCACGTGACTCTGCATGCACGCAGTCGGCGGCTGTTCCCCGCACAGCTCTCAGGCCTCCGGGGACTTACTTGGCGTCTCTGGTTCCGTTGGCTTCTCTGGCCTCTTCGGATTCTCTGGTTTCCTAGGGTCCTCCAGATATCTCAGGATTCCTCCAGACCTGTTGATGCCGATGTGGCATCGCTCTGCTCGGCCACGTCAGCAGAGCAGCGCGTGGGCGAATTTAGTCCACTCGTAGACGTTAGCCTCCTCTGCAGTTGCAGGGGCCTGCGCGTCCCAGAAGAGCCCAGTATCAAGCAGGACGGAGCCTCCGAAGGGCCCGAAGAGCCAGCAAAAACGCCTTTGGCGAACCCTGGGCAGCTCGAGGTCGCTGCCAAGATGTCCCCTGACGGTCCCCGGACAGCCCCCAGACACGCCCCCCAAGACACTGCCGAGGTGGCCCAATAGTCTCTGCGATGCCTGCGCAGAGGGCCCCCGACAAGCGATGCCGTTGCATTGTCGACAGCAGCTGCTGGACCGTGCTCGCGCCCGTTCCTCCCCCATGTGAGCCGAAGACGCGGGCGAGGAGACTCTGTTGTTTCGATTGCGCTGGTGGCACCGTTCCTCACGTGATCGCCATTGCGGTCCTTGTCCAGGAGGACAAGTCCGTCGGATTCCCGCGCGTTCTTCGCGCTGCTGCGGAAGGCGCGGCAGGGGGCCCAGGTCGCCTTCAGGCCCCCAGATGGCCCCAAGAGAGCCCAAGACCGCCCCTACGTGCACCCCCCCCCGCCCGGGAGCCCTCCGACCCATCCCACAGACTCACCCAGAGGACGTCCAGATGGCCCCAGGAGGCACGAGAGGGCCCCAAGAGAGCCCAAGCAGCCCCAGAGCAAGGCCCCACGTTGTCCACAACAGGACCCCAATGAGCGGCCGAACCGAAGAGGAGACGAAACCAGGTGTTCGGCCACACGCGCACGCACCGAGGCCATCGAGACAGTCGTGCGCTGTCTGCGTCTCGAGTCTCTCGCATCGTTTCTCGCTCATTGCTCTTCGCTCCACGCTCCTCGCCTCGCGCTGTGCTGCTCGCTAACCAGTCCCGGTTATCCCACTTAACACCTCGAGCCTGACCCCTCGCTTCCCTGCCTTCTCGTCGCTCCCTTTCTTCGACTCACCTACGAGCAGAAGCCTCAAGCAGCAGCAGCAGCACGAAGTTCGCAGCAAGCAACACCAGCGGCTGCACACAGCAACAGCATGCAGCATGCGGCAGCACGCTGCAGCCGTAGACAATTGCAGCGGAGTTTCAGTTCCAATGTCATCCCGACAGCATTTCAGCAACATCTCCACCCTAACCCACAGGGCCACCTCGGACAGCAGTTATATCCTCTAGCAGTAGTCATCATTACTATATCCAGGTACCCAAAATCGCCCCAGCGGGCCCCAGAGAGTCCCCAGGGGCGCCCCAGCATGCCCCCGGCGAGCACCAGCGGGCCAGTGACGGCTCCAGGGGGCCCATTGATGGCCCCAAGACGGCCGAAGACAGCCCCGAGACGGCTTGAACAGGCTCTGGCTTTGGACGGGCAGGGTGTCACAAGGACACGTGGAGCCAGATTTCATTGCCACCGCATCTTGATTGTAGATCGCTCGCGCACTGCTGCAATCTGCGGCTTATTAGCAGAGTGACGATACCCACAGGCGAAACGAGTCTCAGCGAAGTAAAAGTGGTTTGCACCTTGAGATTGCCGCACGTCAAATCATACGAGGGCCCCATGACTGCCCAAAAGATGCTTCAAGAGGCGCCCAAGAGGGCGCCGAGCAGCTAAAATCATTGGCGTCCCCAAGAGGCTTCCAGGATCGTCCAAACAAGCCCCCACCGACCTTCAAGAGGGCCCCCAGACGGCCCAAGAGGCCCCACGACCACCCAAGCAGCCCATCCAGACGGCCCAAGGGTCGCCAAGTTAGCTTCCAGACGGGCCAGCAGGGCCCCAACCCGGCCCACGAGGGCTCCACGAGGCGTCCTTGGAGGGCGCCGGGAAGCAAACATCATTCATTCCCTTTCGCTTTTTCTGTGGTCGTGACGTTCTCGCTTTTCCGGGCTTCGCATGCTCTTCGACGGCCCAGGGGGGCATCCGCGCTCTCTGTCTGTCCCTAAATGGCCCTGCAGAATGCCAGCAGGCCCCCAATGAAGCCCCCCAGACCGCTAGCAGGCCCCAGGATGCCCCCCCCCCCGAAAGCCGGAAGAGGTCCCAGAGAGGCCCAGGTCAAGCACCGCGGGGCCCCCGGACAGTCCCAGGAGACCCTCCGCCTGCAGAGGCGCGCAGGCCCCAGAGGGCCCCCCCCAGCAGACCCAGAAGGGCCGAAAGAGACCCGCCTGAGGCCCCACAAGACCCCGAGCCGCCCCAAGCCACCCCCGGGTCCCCAGGGGTGTGCGCGAACGCCAGAACTCAGAGCGTGAATTACCTGCCTCGCTTTCGCTTCCAGGCAAAACCAAGTCATACCACGCGCCTCCTCGTTTGGCATCGCTTCCAGTACAGGCCGTAGTTTGGCATCGCTTGGTATCTCTTGGAAGCGAGGGTGGTCAAAAGCGAGGTAGGTTTGTTGAGCTCCTCGAGCCCCCGCCCTCGACACACCTGTCCAGGGGGGCCTGGGCCGGCCAGCCGCGCGCCGGGCTGCTGCGCAGTGCAGCCGTGGCGCACGGCGGAGCTGCTCGAGGCCCGGGCCGACGACGGCAGCGAGGGGCGGCGGCGGCGCCGAGAACGACGGGTCCACGGGGCGCATGTCACCCGAGGAGGGCCCGATAAAACGACGCGAAGATCGGGGCAAAATCGGATCGGGTTAACTCGGAATCTCTGAGAATCGGCGGGTTTGGAGGATGTATTGGGCGCCGCGGCCGCTCCAGAGCGTTCCAGAACGCTCCGGAACGCTCTGGAGCGATTTATCCCGATCCTAGCCCTGTTTTTATGTCATCCGAGGAGGGCCCGAGGCGGCGACTGCAACCGCGACCCCAACGTCCCGACGTCATCCTGGAAGCCTGTCAGGAACCACGTCCTCCCAGAGCCAGGGAATCTCGCCGACGAGCCTTCGTGGACGCAGTCCACGGCTTCGCCCCAGTCTGCTACAGCGCTGGGATCAGCGCGTGCGAGAAAGGCGAGCAATGGCAGTTGGCGCTGCTGCTTCTCAGCGAGATGCTCGAGACGAAGATGGAGCCCGACGTCATACGGTAGAGGGAAACAATCAGTAGACACTCCCCCGCCCCCCAGAACTCGAAGTTGGCACGCGCGGGGAAGACTGCGGTCCAAGTGCAACTCATGCAACCCACCGCCAACTTTGATCATTGGGGCGGGGGCATTGGTAGAAGAATGTGGCATGAGTGTTCGCGGATTTCCCCCGAGGCTTGCACGTCCTGAACGGCTGGGTGCAGTGCAGATAGATGCGGGCGGTCCTCCCCGCCCCGCCCCTGCCCTCGGCAACTGCATCTTCTCCTGAGACGGCGCGAAGCCCCCGAGGATCCGCAGACGGCCTCGAGAGGCTCCCACGCTAGATGCTCGTCTTGGGGGGGCCTTCCTGGGGGCCCGCCTGGCGGATCTGTTCGACTCTACCGCGGCCCCAGCTCGACTCGAGTTCAGCTCAAGTGCGCCTCGAGCTCGGCTCGAGGTCGACCCAGGGTCGGCGCACATCCACGAGCGTCCGCCGCAGCTTCGACGCGAGAGCGGAGCGCGAGTGTCTCCCGGAAGGCCCCCCGGAGCGAGCATGCAACCCCTGAGACCCCCCTGGCGCACCACGCGATCGGAGGGGGGCCCGCCGAGATGACAACGGCGGCCGCTCCCGCCCGGCGCCCAACTCCGCTGGCAGCCTGACCCCACACCGCGCCCGAGGTCCGTCCGGCGCCCGTCCGAGGGCCTCTCGGTGCAGAGGAGCGCCGCGAGCAGCCCAGCCATGGGCACCGGCGGGTGCCCCGCGGGCCTCGCGAGGTCCCCGAGGCGTCCCGAGTCCCTCGCCAGAGCTCGACGGCCGAGACACCAGCGCCCCACGGGAGGGCGCAAGAGGCGTCCAAAAGGCATGTCGTCGGGCCTCTGCAGTGACCCCCCACACGGCCCCGTGCCAGCTGCGCAGCAGGTGCCTCGCGAGGCCCCCAAGGTGTCTCACGCGAGAGAGCCCCAGGAGCCCCGCGTGAAGGGAGGCCCCAGGAGGCCTCCGCAGCACGCCCTGCAGGAGGCCCCACGAGGCGCACAGCACCTGCAAGGAGGCGCCGCGGGACCCCCAACGAACGCAACTGAGGCCCTAGTCGGCACAATCATGCGCGAGAGCATAGCGATTTCACTGAGGGCATTGGTTCAGGACTGTGCCCAGGGTGCTTCATACCCTGGGGGCTTCCTCATCTGATGAGGTCGGCGGTGGTCTCCAGGGCCAATCTGTGAATGGAGTGCCACTGGCTCCCAGACTCTGTACCCCTCTGGAACGATCATCCAACCTGTGCAGCCCGTGCCGAAGACGCGTCCGAGGGTAGTTGTTTCATCCTGGGTCCGCTTCTGACGGTCGCGGACCCTGCGGACGGCCCCGGGAGGCCACAAACGACAACACCGAAGGCGGCAAGTCCATGCAGATCGACGATGCAAGTCGCATTGTTGTTCCAAGGCAGCGTGGGTTCCTCATCCAGTGGTTCTTTATCCCGTGCCCGCACCGTATGGCCTTGAGGGGGTACGTTTTGTTCAGTGTTGCCCGGGTTGCCTCGGGAGGACTACGCGGGGTGCCCCGAGGCATCCCCTGGAAAGCAAGCCCCCTTCGCAAGAGAGCCCTCAGAGCGTCCCGCGACGGTCAAGGAGAGACCCAAATGGGCCACGCATACGTGGAACAAAAAATACATAAGCTTGATTTGCAGGAGGTCCGCGCGGATTTCTCGGATCGGCGCTGAAGCCCCCTGGCGGCACCTTCGGCGCTGAAGCCCCCTGGCGGCACCTCTGGCGCGCGCCACGGGGCCGAGGCCGATCCAAGAAATCAGCGCGGCCCTCCGAAAGTGCATGTTTGGGTCATGGTTTGTTCCTCGAACGATGTGTGTTTGTGTTTGTGTGTGTGGTTGGCGTGTGTGTGTGTGTGTGTGTGTGTTGTCGTCGCCTCAGGTTTTTCGTTGCTTTTGGCCTGCGGGGACCGTTCTCGGGCCCTGGACCGTCAACAACGGAACCAGGGTTAAAGATTACTCTTAAGTCGGGCCTGTCCTTCTACAGGAGGAGTATTCAAAAAAATAGTCAGAAACTAATCCGGGGAGGATCTTTGGAATAATTATTTTTGCTACGTGTGGGCATTTAGGAATCGGAGGTTGGGGGGTGAGATCGCAGTAAAACGGAGACCCCCCACGGGGAAATCGGTTTCGGTTTCGTGTTCGTGTCGTGCGTGCGGGCGAGGCGAAGCTGCGCGTGATCCTCCTGTAGCTCGGCCGAAGTAGGAGCGAAAGTCCGTTCCAGTCCGCCGGTGGCTGGGAGGTGTCCCAGTTGGGCTGGGCGGTGCCCCGGGTGTCCCGGGTGCCAATAGGAGCGAAAGTCCGTTTCCCGTCCGCCGGTGGCCGGGAGGTGTCCCAGTTGGGCCGGGCGGTGTTCCGGGTGTCCCGTGTTTCGGAGATCGATAGTGAGACCGATAGTGAGATCGATGGTGAGATCGATAGTGAGATCGATAGTGAGATGGATAGTGATGTCGATTTTGAGATCGAGTGATATCGATAGGGAGATCGTTAATCGTTAGTGGGATCGATAGCGAGATCCAGAGTGAGATCGACAGTGAAATCGATCGAGTGAGATCGATAGTGAGATCGATCGAGTGAGATCGATAGTGGGATCGATTGTCCCATCGATCGTGAGACCGATAACGACATCGCTTGTGAGATCGATAGAGAGATCGATAGTGAGATCGATGGTGAGATCGATCGTGAGACCTATACCGACATCGCTTGAGAGATCGATGGAGAGATCGATAGTGAGATCGATTGAGTGGGATCGATAGTGAGATCGATAGTGAGACCGATAGTGTGACGCAACGATCACCACTGTTGCCCAATGCTGATCCCTCCCCCCCCCACCTCCTTATCACCCGCAGGGCGGTCGTATAGGTATAATCTATTGTTCGTTCAAGCTACGGCTGTAGGGGGACATGCCCGACCTAAAACCACCCCCAGGGAAGTTGTTCGACACGGCTTGCAAGACTTCCTTTAGTTCTCCCAGAAGGAGTGGACGTGCTCTCCGAAGGGCACCGAGATGGCCCACGAGAAGCCCAGCTCGAGAGCGCCAGCCACCAGCAAGAGGGACCAAGTGGACCTCCTTCTCCTTTCTCTCCTCCTCCTCCTCATTATCCTCATTATCCTCCTCCTCCTCCGTCTCCTCCTCCACCTCCTCCTCCACCTCCTCCTCCCCCTCCTCCTCCTCCTCCTCCTCCTCCTCCTTCCTCCCCCCCCTCCGTCCTCCTCCCCCTCCTCCCCTCCTCCTCCTCCTCCCCCCTCCTCCTCCTCCTCCTCCTCCTCCTCTCCTCCTCCTCCTCCTCCTCCCCTCCTCCTCCTCCTCCTCCCTCCTCCTCCTCCTCCTCCTCCTCCTCCTCCTCCTCCTCCTCCTCCTCCCCCTCCTCCTCCAAGGGGCGCCGAGGTGGCCCTTGGAGGGACCGTGGCTCCACAGCACCGGCCACCAGCCAGAGCACGGGGGGGCGGGCCTGGGAGCGCAGGCAGGCCCGGCGTGCTGTCCAAAGGGGAGCCGAGGTGGCCCACGAGGTGCTCCGGCTCCAGAGCAGCCCCCCGTCGCACGGCCTTTTTGTTCGGACCAAGGAGCTGCGGGGATGGTGGCTCTGTCGGCGACCGTGGCCTTGGGAGCTCAGCGAGCCCTCTATGAGATCTCTACGGGTGAAACAATAAGCAAGCGCAGGCGGCAAGCGAAAGCGGCTCGCTGCAGCATGCAGCAGGAAGAAGCAGCAAGCACCAGAAGCGACTGCATCAACCAGTTGCAGCAAGAAGCCGCACCCGCCAGCAGCGGTTAGCAGCAGCGGCAAGCAAACAGCAGCAAGCAGCTCCATGAAGCAACATCCACATTCAACAGACAGCATACTCTTGCAGCAAAAGGCAGCAGCATCAGCACGCATCAGCACACATCAGCAATAGTAAGCAACATCACACAGCAGGCAAGGAGTGCTAACCACTACCACGCCGTAGCACGCAGCCGCACCAAGCCGCAGCAAGCGGCAGCGGGTGCCAACAAGCTCTACCTCGTAGAAGAGCTGGGAGCAAGTAGCAGTAAACGACACAAAGCCGCACATTGGTAGCTGCACTCGGGGCCAGCAAGCAATCACGCAAGCAAGACAACGAGTAGATAGGCCAAACACTGTCACGCCATCGGGTTAGCAACCACGCCGGCAGGAGAGAGTAGGCAAGCAGCATGTTTCTCTGCATGCTCGGAAGGTTTGGAATGCAGTCGACGGGTGATGCCCTGGTCAGTTACAGCGCTGGGATCAGCGCGTGCGAGAAAGGAAGGCAGTGGCAGCTGGCCCTCTGGCTTGTCAGCGCGATGCGGGAGGAGAGGCTGAGACCCGACGTCGTGGGCTACAATGCAGGGATCAGCGCGTGCGAGAAGGGCGATCAGTGGCAGCGGGCCCTGTCGCTGCTCGGCGAGATGCGGGAGCGGGTGTTGCAGCCCGACGTCGGCGCCGTTGCATTGCTAGACACAGTGCGTGCATGGAGGGGGATCGATGTGCGGAATGGTCGCCCGGCAGGCCCGCATTGAGCGTTCGGATAATGGGCCTTGCCTTCGAGGATCGAAGGAGTTGCCATCTCTTCTGCGGCGGAAGGTCGGCGGAAATCAAACGAGGCCGCCTCCTCTGGCAGAAGTCGGCGGAAGCCGGCCTGGCGGCGGAAGCAAAAATTGGATCCCCAAGACATGAAACGGTGTTTGGGTCCAGGGTTTCCGGAATCGCCCAGATGAGTTCTCGAGGGCTCCCCATGGGCCGCCGGCGATCTCCGCAAGATGGGCCAAGGCGGCCGACGAGCGTCTTTGGAGACCCAGAGCAGCCCAACAGACCAGCCCCCGAGAGGGCCCAGGAGCTCCCCAAGAGGCCCAGAGAGACCCTGGAAGAGCCCCCGTGCCCAAGACAGGCCTCAGCGTGTCCCATGAGGGGCCCCGAGCATCACATGCTCAGTGTGTCTTCGCCTTCCGCCCTGTCGATCCCGCGATTGCCTCATGCTGCAGGAGGCCGAAGAACGCACCGACCATGGCCCCAATGCGGCACAGGAAGGTCCCCTGACGGCCCTGCCCAGAGGGCACCGAGAGTGCTCCCCGAGAAACTCCAGGCGCGTGTAAATTATTTCAGAGGCACCAAGGCTGAAGTCGGGCCTGTCCCTCTACAGGGTGAATATTCAAAAATAGTCGACACATATTCTGGGGTATTTTGTGTTTTTCGTTCAAAACCCCCCTGCAGGGGGACAGGCCCGACCTAAACCAAGGCGCCCCCGATGCGGCCAACGATGGTGACAGAGCACCCGTAGGCGTCCTAGCTGGCCCAACAGGTCCCAAGCAGCAAGATACAGCGTACGGCAGCAGGCGCCAGTGAGCGAAAACCATCGGCAGCACCTGGCAGCAAGCCCTGCAGCCGCGCCGACGCTGTGGTGCCGTGAAGGCGCCGGTCATCTCAGATGGCTAGTTGCGCCGCGTCGATTTCTATTCGCGACGCCTGGGGGCAGACAGGCTTTTTGCCTCCGGTCCCGTCGGCCCAGTGCCTTGATGTGGCGCGACGCGCCGTGTCGCGCTGAGATGTGTCCAGATTGCGGGGTGACGACACGTGCGTTCTTTTCCCATCTGTCTTGCCAAGCGGAGCTGCGTTTGCCGTGTTGCTTCGAACGGACATGCATCGATATCCCGTCTGCTGCGAAGCATCCGATACGATCTTCGGCCTTGCATGCGAGTGCGTAAGATTGGGCTGACCGTAGCCTTCGGGCGGGCCTTGTCAGCTACAGCGCTGGGATCAGCGCGTGCGAGAAGAGCGGGAAGTGGCAGCAGGCCTTGTCGCTGCTCAGCGAGATGCGTAGCACAGCTGTGGAGCCTGACGTCGTCAGCTACAGCGCCAGCATCAGCGCGTGCGAGCATGGTGCGTAGGAGCAGGCCCTGCCGCTGCTCGCCGACAGGATCTTGCGGGCGAGGTCGGAGCGCAACGGCACCCAGATTTGGTCGGCGGACGACCTGTGTGCACCGTACCGCGCTGTCGTCTGTCGAGGCTGTCGTCGGCTCTCGACACAGGAGAATTCGGCTACACGTAAGAGTGACCCTTGGCCAGAGTGACCTTTTGTGTTGGCCCTTATGGGGTCGGGCAGATTTTCTTGAGGAGTGCGCTCGGCCTCGCGTCGGCGCGCGCTGCACCAGTCTGCGAACGCATCAAAGCGCGCTTGATTCAGGGTGCGCCCCTCGCAATTCATCGCAACGCATGCGCGGTGCATTCTGCCGCGTGCTTCGTTTGGCGAGGGGAGCCCAGTCGAGCGGGCGACGTGCTCTCCGCTTTGGGACCGGTCCCAAACCGTCCTGGACTAACTTTGACTAACTTTGAATAACTTTTCGCATTCCGCGCTTTACAACGCAATTCTTTACTATTGAAAGTTATTTGCGGCCGCGGGGGGGCCAAGTTTCGGCCCGGTTTCGGCCTTGACGCCGGACCCGGTCAGACGACATCGCGATGCGGCCCGGCAGTGCCAGAACATTCCGCGGCGTCGCCCGATGACGTCTGGCTTCGCAGAGCCCTCGGGCGGGTGTTCTGGGGCGCCCAGAACGAATTGGCGGAAGTCCGCAATTGCCTGCTGGCGCTAGGGATCTATCGAAGCGCGCCCCACCGATCGTTGATGCAATCCGACGGCCTCGGCTTGCGCGGCTGCTCCAGGCCCCCACGGGCCCCCCTAAGGCCGCGCACCAAAGGGCATTCTTGCCTAGGGTCACTCTTACGCGTCGCCGAAGAATGCTACGGTGCACGGTTTCTCGGGCCCCGGAGCAGCAGTATGTGTCTACCGCGCCGTGTTCGAGAGAGGGGCCTGGGCGGAGTCCAGACGTGATCAGGTGCACGGGCGCCCTTTCCGGGTTCTTTCTGCAGTCAACCCGCACAGTAAGGATGGGCAACCTTCCCCCCTCGGTCCAACCTGGGCCACTTCCTTGCCTCCTCGGTCCAACCTGGGCAACTTCCCTCCTTGCCTCCTGGGTACTCTTTCACCCTTGCCTCCTCGGCCCAACCTGGGCCACTTCTTTCGATGGCCCCGCTCGACAATCTTCGCAACGGCGTCCAAGGCCCTCACATCCGTCGTGCGTCCGCCCCGCGCCCCCGCTCGGGCGGCGCCGCCGGGTTGGAGCCCCGCTCGGGCCGAGGCGCTGCACGGCGCGTGGCGTGCGGCGAAGCAGGGCAGCACAGCGCTCGGGGCTCTCCACGGGGGTTGCCACCAGAGGAGGAGCAGGTAGGTGCCCATGCCTCCACCCTCTCCTCGTCTTCCCCTTTTCTGGGGCCTCCTCGGCCTCCCTCGCCGTCACCGCTGGATTCGCCTCGCAGTCCTGTTCAGAATGCACCCCAGGCGAGGTCCGGGGCACCCCAGGAGAGGTCTCGGGAGTGGCGGTATCGGTATCACGAGGGCCCCGAAGGATGGCCGAGGATGGCAAGGAGAGCCCCGCCCCAGGGCTTCGAGAGAGCCGAAGAGGGTCGCACGGCCCGGAGAGGAGGCACAGCAAGGATGTCACTACGTCGCTGGTTGCACAGCTTGCACCTCACCGCCTGGACCACCTAGTTTCTGCCACGCCTCCTGCACCGCACGGCGTCCACCGCACAGCTTGCACCACACATATCTATATCTACATGAATACAGTTTTACATATCTCTCTTTATATATATATATACACATATGCATATCGCACGACACGGCTTGCGCAATGCAGCTTGCGCCACAGTTTGCACTACACATGTTTCAACGCATCGCTTGTTCCACATTGTTTGCACCTTATAGCTTGCACGTGCCGAGTGCAATGACTTCGCGTTTGGGGTGCACGCGCGATGCGGTAGACTATACGTGGTGCAATCAGTGCGGTCGAGGCTATGTGGCGCAAGCTATTGGCCAGAAGCTGCCCCCGTGCCGTCTTGGACGATTCCTGGAAACGACGGCCAGAAGCCGGCCGAGAGTGGCGACAGCAGGCTTCGGGCGCGATGCGGCCCCGAGCCGCCAGAGGTGCGGCAAAACTTCCCGCTGGGCCCTGGCCACACGGTCCGCGCGCTGACACAAAAGGCTCCGGGCTCGGGACGCGCTCTGGCCTCCGGGCCGCTCCTTCGGTTCGGGTCGGGGAGCCTTCCCGTGGCCCCGGCCCGCCACGGCCACAGACGCCCCCCTTCGTGCCCCATGCACCGTCCCTTACGGTGGATTCGCGCGCCCGGTCTGCCTCCGGGGCGCTCTCCCGCGCCAAGAGTCGAGCGGTCGCGCCTGCTCCTCCCTGGCCCCAGGGTCGGCGGAGGCCCAACCTGCTTCCAGCGCCTGTTCGCTCCATGTCGCTACCCACTTCCCGTGGGCGCCAGTTGGGCTCCCCCCCCGCTGCGGACCCATCAGCCCATCGGCCCAGGGGCCTCCGAAGGCCGCCGAGGGCCGCTGAGTGCCGCCGAGTGCTTTCGGTTGCCCTCTGCCTCCGACGGCAGCCGAAGGCCTCCAAGGCCGAGGGCACCCGAGGCCCTCGGCCCTCCAAGGCCGCCGAAGGCCTCCCAGGGCCTCCGAATGCCTCCGAAGACCGCCGACGGCCTCCCGGGGCTGCCGGAGGCCTCCGAGGGCTGCGGAGGGCCGCCGAAGACCCTCGGCGGCCCTCGGCCGCGGAGGGCCGCCGAAGGCCGCCGAGGGGCCGGCGAGGTACCCAGAGCCATGGCCCGCGTCGGTCGAGGCAGGAGCGTAGCGTGTCCACGTGGCGGATTGTTTTGAGGAGCACAGGATCCACGCCAGAAAGGCGGCCGCCATTGGTCGAGCCCCAGCGGGGTGTTCCAGGCATGCTGGTGCGGCAGTGCGTTTCCCCGTCGGACTGCACGTCGACCAGGGCGCATCCCCAAGTCCGAGATGGAGTTGACCCTGCGTGTGTGCGCGCGCGCGTGTGTGTGTGTGTGTGTGTGTGTGTGTGTGTGTGTGTGTGTGTGTGTGTGTGTGTGTCTGTGTGTCTGTGTGTCTGTGTGTCTGTGTGTCTGTGTGTGTGTGTCTGCAGTTAGGGCTGCCCTGTTCATATCATGGTCTGCCCGCATGAGGAGACATCGCCGAAGTCGATTCGGACCTCGTGGGGCGGAGTGGAGCGCCTGCCTCGCCAGCCAGGAGGAGGAGGAGGAGGAGGAGGAGGAAGAGGAGGAGGAGGGAGGAGGAGGAGGAGAGGAGGAGGAGGAGGAGGAGGAGGAGGAGTGAAGCGCCTACCTCGCCAGCCAGGCTCCTGGCACGGTAGCGCCTCGCCGCGGAGAGGCGCCGGTGCCCCCCCCCCGCGCAGAGGCACCGCCGCCGCGCCGCCCGCGGGCGAGCCGAGGCCGGAGGCCGCGCTGGGCAGGCCGCAGGCCCCCAGCAGCCGCCGCTCGGAGGAGAAAGTGGAGAGTCTGAGTGTCGAGGAGGGAGGAGGCTGAGGAGGGAGGTCGGAGGAGGAGGAGGAGGAGGAGGAGGAGGAGGAGGAGGAGGAGGAGGAGGGAGGAGGAGGAGGAGGAGGAGGAGGGGAGGAGGAGGGAGGGAGGAGGGAGGGAGGAGGGAGGGAGGGAGGGAGGGAGGAGGGAGGGAGGGAGGAGGGAGGAGGGAGGGAGGGAGGGAGGGAGGGAGGGAGGGAGGGAGGGAGGGAGGGAGGAGGGGGAGGGAGGGAGGGAGGGAGGGAGGGAGGGAGGGAGGGAGAGAGGGAGGGAGGGAGGGAGGGAGGGAGGGAGGAGGAGGGGGAGGAGGAGGAGGAGGAGGAGGAGGAGGAGACTCTTCCTGGGGGGTCCTGGCATCGCTCGGACTTGTGCATTTTTTGTCGGCGAGGACCATCGCAGAGCATCGTGGGTCACCCTGCGAAAAAATACACGCACGAAATCGACAAGTGCACAGGGAATGGACGTCCGAGCGATGGCGAGGTGTAGCCCACAGGTGCAGTGCCAGCGCGGGGCATCAGCGGCAGCTTGGGGCTTCGCAGAGCGAGAACAACACCCGCGGGCACCGCCGCCACGCAGCGTGCTCCAAGCTGGCGGTGCCTCTCGGTCGACGCGGCCACTCGGCATGCAGGACGACCACCTCACCAATCGGGGAGGACCTCCAGCCCCCCGAATTTGACGTCCAGGGCGAAGCCTCCAAACGGAGTCGGGGCCTTCGGCCCCGAACCGAGAGGCAACTTCGCCCGAGTTCGTGGGCGGTTTCCGCTCCAGAGGTGGTCCAAGCGGGCATGGGTCGACGAGCCGCGCTCGCAGTGCCCCCTGCAATCCACCGCTAGGAGCTGGGTATTATCGCGCGAGTGTGCTCCACGCGAGCTGCAGAAGGTGAACGGGCCAACGCACCAAAGGCGGTGGCCTACGGCAGGCCGGCACGGGGCCTGCCTGAGCGTCTTGGCCACCTCGGCCAAGACGCAGGCACCTTACGCATCGCAGCTTGCCCGCAAACTGGACTATGTCGTGCTCTCCCGCGGGGGCCTCCTCATCAGCCGTGAGCCTCGGGGGCGGCCGACGTCATCGACGGGTCTCGACATCCCGAGCCGACATTGTACTGGCAGGAGGGCCGACAGCTCGCAGGGTTCTACATATGTAGTTGCACACATACGTGGACAGGCTGGCCGACTTTAACACTCGATCGTTCGCCTGCACGTCTTGGGGATGCCTCGATGATTGGCGAACTGATCAGCAAACTTGTTACCGAGTCGCCAGTACCTGGCGTCTGCTGATAGGTGGTCGTCGCGGACAAGCGCGTGACCCTTGACTTTGATCGCTTCAACCTCCCCCCCAAGGTCGTCCACGGGCCCCACACCCGTCCCCACAGGTCGGCGCACATGCACATGCTGCCCATCGTGGCCTCGCGGCCTTTCTTAAAGCTCGAGACCACCCAATCACAGTCGGATAGGTAGCGAAAGGACCCGAGCGAGACGTGGAGGACGTACACTAGGAGCCCAAACAGCTCGGCCACCTCAGAATCCTGCAGGAGTCCAGGGAGGGGCCCACACAGCGCGGCCGTGACATCTAAGCCGCCCCCCGAAGTTTGGACCACGGACCACCCAGCTCTCTTCAGACGGGGCCTCACCCTCTAGGTGGCCTCCGGGGGGCCTAACCTCCCAGCTCACCTGAAGCTCCAGGGTGGGAGGCAGACACCACTCGACGGGGTTGGGCAGGAGACCGTGGCACCACAATGCCCAGTCCTCGCGGTCGCGCGCGCCAGAGCGAAGCGAGTGCGGCAGCATGTAATCTCGCCGATAGCCCCACGTGCCCGGACACGACCCCCAGCACAAGTGCTCCACCGTCCCCCGCTCGAGGCCACACAATTCGCACCGAGGGCTATTGACAAGCCCCGGCTTGAATTTGCGAGCTCGATCCCAATATTCATTCGCTGCGAGGCATCTTGCCGTCGCCTGGTGCAAGGCTGTCCAATCCTTGGCGGCCGACGGCTGGGTTGAGCAGAGGTGGCGAATGAGGGCGAGGAAGGGGGTATGAGAGAGCGAGGCGAGGTGGGGACACTCTACGCGCGCAGTGCGGAGGAGCCAATCCTCGACACCCTGCTCGGCGATTTTCTGAATTGTCCGAGGGCACACTTCACTGAATTCCAAGACCTCGCCATGAGCAGTCTTCAAACTGCAGATGCCAGGCCCAAGGGACCACCCGACTCGCTGGCAGGAGGCAAGGGCTGCTGAGATCGGGCCTTGGACCAACGACCAAGTCCTGTCCACAGGGCCTCTGGCTCGGGCGAGGCGTTTATCAGCAGCACTGAGCAGAAAGCCGAGCCAATCGAGTGGGAACCAGCTGGACCAGACAGCCTGGGCCAACGTGAAGATGGGCCCGACGGTGTAATTATATGCTGGACCTATTGTGGCAGGGTCGCCCTTGACGAGCGCGAGGTCCAGCGTGAGCGACCGACGAGACGCGTGCACAAAAAGGGCTGCCCGTGCCGCGCTACGCAAGCGCATGACGTTGCCCCACGCCCGCCCCGTCACCGAGTCGCCCCAAGCCCCCACCCCCACTATTCCCATGCTAACTAGTTGCTTGCACTTTCCGCGCGCCCGGCGGAGTGCCCGCACCTTCGTGCAGCGCCACCGGACTCGCTCGAGCCGCTCGCGGCGAGTGGTCGCGCCGATCCGCTTGCCGCACGAAAACTCGCAACCTAACTTGCGGGTCGAGCGGGCCTCACGTCCACGCAGCGTCGGGCAGCGGCGGCCCAGCGCGACCGCGGCGGCGTGTCTGTTCGAGACCACCTGGCCCTTCGACCCGTTGAGCACCAGGTGGTCCGCCAGCGTCCCATCTCGAACAGCCGCGTAGGATTTGGCCAGCGTGCCGATCACCATCGACTCGCGGCCAGACGACTAGAGCTGGACATCGTCCACCACGTTGCCCAGGGCGAGGTGCGGCGTGCCAGCCGCTCGATCCAGGATCGGGACCACGGAGATCCGCATCATCAGGTCGGCGAAAGAGCAGCCGGCCACCACCCCATCCCACGGGGCGAGTTCGCCCAAGACCATGCCATCGAAGGTCAGGGCGCGCGGCGTGCTGTAGAAGTCGATCGTGAGGCGCAGCAGCAGCATGTTGAATTCCATCAGGCGGGCCTTGGCCACGAGGAGGTGCCAGCGGATGAACTCGTGGGCCTTGGACAGGTCCAGCAGGACGGAGACGGCCGTCCAGGCGCGGGCTGTGGCGTACTCGGCCCGGGCCGACTGCCGCCGCACACAGGCCTCGCATCTCTTGCCCTGGCCGTCCACTCCATACATGTAGTCGCGGCGGTGGCCATCGGCCCACTTGCGCCCTCCGTGTGCCGCAGCCACCGAGTCAGCGGCCGCACCGTGCCAGAGAAGATGCCGATCGCGCGCCGACCACCCTCGGTCTTGGGCAGGAGGGCCTCGCGCATCAGGGCGATCGCCTTGGGAACGTGGCCCATGCCGATCGTGCACTCCCAGAGGCAGATGAGGGCGAGGCTGGCCTGGTCGCTCAGCAGCGCGACATGCCTCGGGTGCACCACGTCGCAGCCAAGGACCGTGAGGCCCGAGAAAGTGTGTGACACGCGCCGCACCTCGTCCACGGACGGGAGCGCCTCCGTCACGCCGTCGAAGTCCGACTCCAGGCCCTGTCGCCCACAGGCGGTGCCAGGGCTCGATGGCGGCCCGTGCCTCGTCCCGGATGGACAGCGCTGCCCCAGGCGCCGCAGCAGGAGATGCCAACGACCACGGCGCCTCCTGCTTCAATCACTTAGACGCCTGCCTCATGCCGTCCTGCCTGGTCGCATCCCTCGACCACTCGATCCAATTGCGATGCCGTCGGTACGCGGCCTTGTCGGCAGCCCAGCGGGCGCAGGCACGGAGGTCGGCCTCCAGGTGGTCCAGGTCCTGCTCGCTGGCGGAATCCGGCTTGCGGACCAGCCCGCGCCAGGCCGCCCACATCTCGGGCCTCCAGGTGGCGTTGGACGCGGGCCTGAAACGCAGCAGCCTGACATGCAGCGCGCGAAGCCGTCGCAGTCCATGCGCTCCGCCTCGGGCTGCCCGGCGGTGCCGCCACTATCGCATACGGTCCGCGAGACATTGCCAATGGCTGTCCGCGGGGCTTGGCGCGCCGCTGTACCTCGCCTGCTGCCGCTTGTGCATGTCCAGCGTCGTAGTCACGTACTTCACTCCATGCTCGCGCCCACTGTATTGATCGTCTGCATCTTGCAGGCCGTGGTACTCCACGAGCCCGTCCTCATACAAGCGGAGCCATGCCTGGAGCTTACCGTCCAGCAAACACCGATCATCGGCCGTGCTGCGACGCCGCTGGGCCTCCACCCGCTCGTCCCGGCCTCTCTCCACCAGGGCCCCCGCATGCGGGGCCGATCACCGCGTTGGCGGGGAAGGATTTGGCCATGTGCATCGTCTGCACGGTCATGGACAGGGAGGGCATGTCCAGTTTGTACACCACCCCCTTGTGCGTGGCCACCGACAGGTCGTCTATCACCCGCACCTTCCCGCCTGCGAGGCACCGACTCGTGACGAAAGAATCGATGACCCTCGCGCTCTTGCTGGTGATGCAAGTGGCATCGAGCTCCGACGCCGCCTGGACCACTCCCCGAACAGCCTGCGGCCAATAGGACTGGCCCAACGTGGACGGGAGCATCTGCCAGTCTCCGCCGACGATGAAGGGCCTGTCTGCGGCCCGCAGCACGGCGCCTACCCCGAACATAACGTCCAGGTTGACGTCGTCGAGCTCGCGGCTCGCGTGGAGGTACACGGACGCCAGCAGCAGCCCCTCCTTCGGCCCGAGGTCCGTAAGCCAGAATCCCTGCCTGGCGGAGAAGCGGGCGTGGTTCCAGTCATGCTGGAACTCGAGGAGCCGAAATGCAACCCACGGCCGCGTCAGGAGTCCGACGCCTCCCGTGGCCCCGCCGCGATCGGTACTGCGAGCGGGGTGCAGGTCGCACTTCCATGCCCAGCGGTGGGTGGCCTTCATCGCGCTCTCCACCTTCGTGTCGTCGAGGTGGTGCCCATGGATGACCACTGCCGCCACGTCCGCGGGGATCCGGCGCTCCTCGAGCTGCGTCAGCATGCTGAACCAGCTCGTGACATTGACCGTCAGGACGTGGCAGCGTGGGCTGTGAAGCTTCGGCGGCTTCCGACCGCGCCTGGGCGCCGTTCTGGCGGCGCTGGCGCCGGCCACAGCGGCCCCGGCGGAAGCGCCGCTGGGGGCCCTGGCAGCGCCCCCAGTGGCCCTGGCGAGGGGGACGGGCCGATTTGCGTCAAGATTTCCATTGACGCAAGTTGCGTCCGCGGCTCTCCCAGCGGCGCCCGAAGCCAGCGGGGCAGCCGCGGCACCGCCGGCGGGGAGCTGCCCCTGGAGATTTTGGCCTGGATCGGCGTGTACCGTCGGAGGCGCGGGGCACCCCGGGCTGAAGGACGAGGGCAGGGAATCGGGTCGCGGCGTCGGGGCCATCGGGGGCAGGGGCAGGAGGAGGAATGAGGAGGAGGAGGAGGACGAGGAGGGGAAGGAGGAGGAGGAGGAGGACGAGGAGGGGAAGGCGGAGGAGGAGGAGGAGGAGGAGGAGGAGCAGGAGGAGAGGAGGGGAGGAGGAGGAGGAGGAGGAGAGGAGGAGGAGGGAGAGGAGGAGGTGGAGGAGGAGGAGGAGGAGGAGGAGGAGGAGCAGGAGGAGGAGGAAGGGTCGCGGCGTCGGGGCCACCGGGGCTCCGGCCGGCGGCGTGCAGAAGCAGGCTATGGCGAGCGCGGCGGACTTCCTGCAGAGGGCCTGCGGGGGCCTCCCATGCGAGGCCCCCCCGCCTCGGAGCCGCCGGGGCCCCCTCCGGGGAGCCCCCCTCGGGTCGGCGCGAGGCCCGGCAACGCCCGGAGGCCTGGAATGCGGGCAACAGGTATATCCACATCCAGTGAGTCTTGGAGTTTGGGCTCCCTTCCTCAGGAGCTGGAGGCGCACTGGATGTGGATAGACATCTGGCCCAGAAAGGCTCGATGTTTATCCATATCCAGTGCGACTCGGCCTTGCGGCACCCCTTCCCCAACAGTCCAAGACGCTCTGGATATGGATATATTGCCCGCATGGAAGACTCTGGATCGAAGCTGGGCGCAGCGAAGCCTCGAGGCCCGGGAGGCGCTGGGTCGGAGCGAGGCCCAGCCACGCCAAAGGGAGGCCTGCCGAGGAGGCCCTGGGTCGCTTCCCGGGAGCCCGACCCCCTCGTCCCCCTGCGTCGATGGCGCGCCGCCGGCCCAGAGCGGCGGTCACTCCTCTCCAGAGGCCCCCCCGGTGCTGCCCCTTCGCGCATCGCTGCCTGTCCCCGCCGAGGCATACAGTCCGCCGGAGGGTCTGCCGCTGCCCTACCCCACCATCCTGGACAACACTGAGGACCTCCGGCTGAGGGGCGTGGAGGGGATGGGCTTAGTGGGCCCTGGAAACGACAGGGACGTTTTTTTACCTGTTCCGTTTGCCGTTTTGTCGTTGGTTCCGACGCCGTTTTTTTACCGGTTCCGTCGCCGTTGTTTGACCGGTTCCGGCTCCGGTTCCAATCCTGGAGCCGCTTTTGTTGCCGTTTCCTGTCGCCGTTTTTTTCCCGTTTCCATTTTCAAGGGACATTTTTTGGAAACGGTGAAAAAACGGCCCTGCCGTTTCTGGGGCCCACAAAGGAGAAGGGTGAGTGAAGGGCGTGAGGAGGAGTCGGGGGAGGTTGTTTGGGGGAAGGAGGGATGGTGGGGGAGAGTGGAGGATGAGATGGAGGACCCGATTCGGGACGGTGGGATGCCTGGTCCGACCTGCTGGCGGCCGGGTATCAAGATCCTGATTTTGAGGGCAACGAGGCAGAAGGTGATGAGGAGGAGGACGACGACCAGAATGTCGGGGAGGAGGAGGACGAGGGGGACGATAACGCGGATGTGGAGAAGCACACGGACGGTGAGGAATAGAAAGAGTCAGGAGTATACAGGGCAGGAAGAGGACATGTACGATATAGGTTATATATATATATGTATATGTCTATGTGTACGGAAGAGGCGGTTGAGAATGTTGGCCGACATCAGCCAGGGTGGTATTGGAGCCCAGGAGCGGAAGGCATAACAGGATTCAGCCTGGATTGGAGGCCCGCCTCATCCTGTTCAGTCGGAGAACTAGCTAGCGCGCCTCCGCAGTCCCTTTCCCGAGCGATGGCACCATGCCGCGAGAGTGGCGGACACCAATATAAAGGGATGGCGCCCCGTCTCATACACGACACATTGCGTTGGCCTATTCCGGAGTCTTTTGTCGGGGAAACGTGGGTCTCGACTTCGCCTGTGCTTAGTTCTGCCGATGCTCTTTCACGCGCCTGTCCTGGACTTTGACTGTCCAGATTTCGTGGGATGGTTGCTGTGGGAGTTCGCCTCAATGTTCAGACTTCACGAGCGGTGAACATATTTAACCGTATCCGCGCCCTCGCGGTCTGCATGTTGGGGCTCGATGCCGCGGATACGCTGTCGTACGGATACGTTCCGCGCGGCGTATCCGCGAACACTGCCCCGTGTCCGCGGGGTCGCGGCCCAGGGGCCTCTTCCGCGAGGGCGGGGCTACGGACGTGTTTCCCGCTGTGAATACGAAGATTTGGGTCTCGTCATTTTGCTGACGGCCCCGCCACGCCACCCCCGAGCCCCCCGAACCCGAGTCTGACGGTCAGGCCCTCTCGACGGCCAGGCCGTCTGGAGCAGCGTCTCGCGCCGCCTGTCCAAGCTCACCGCACTGCGACGAGGCACGCTGTCCACGTCTGGGTCCCCGAGCGCCTACGTCCCGAGCGTCTCCCAGCCTCTCGCCCCGCGGTGCTGAGCGACACGCTGTCAGCTCGCAGGGGGCAGCGTGTCGCCGGGGTCGCCGCCACGACATGCTAAGCGAACGTTCCCGACCGCTCGGCGCTCATACCATTGACGTCACGAGCGCGGCACGCCAGAGGCCAATGTACAAACTGCCGGCCCTGGGCACGCGCCGTTGCTCCCGCGCAGGGCGCGGCGGCCTTCGCCGACGTCCTGGAGCTGCTGCCAGAGGCCAGGCCTGGCCAGGCGCGCCAGGGGCTGCCGCGTCAAGACGGCCGCGCTACGGAGCAGGAGGTGGAGGAGGAGGAGAAGGAAGAGGAGGAGGAGGAGGAGGAGGAGGGGGAGGAGGAGGAGGAGGAGGAGGAGGAGGAGGAGGAGAGGAGGGAGGAGGAGGAGGAGGAGGAGGAGGAGGAGGAGGAGGAGGAGGAGGAGGAGGAGGAGGAGGGGGAGGAGGAGGAGGAGGAGGAGGAGGAGGAGGAGGAGGAGGAGGAGGAAGGAGGAGGAGGAGGAGGAGGAGGAGGACAGGAGGAGGAGGAGGAGAGGAGGAGGAGGAGGAGGAGGAGGAGGAGGAGGTGGAGGAGGAGGAGGAGGAGGGAGGAGGAGGAGGACGAGGAGGAGAGGAGGAGGAGGAGGAGGAACAGAGGAGGAGGGAGGAGGAGGAGGAGGAACAGAGGAGGAGGCGGAGGAGAAGGAGGAGGAGGAGGGAGGAGGAGGAGGAGAAAGAGGGGGAGCAGAAGCAGAAGCAGGAGGAGGAGGAGGAGGGGAGGAGGAGGAGGAGGAGGAGGGAGGAGGGGGAGGGGGGAGGAGGAGGAACCGAGGAGGAGGAGGAGGAGGGAAAGAAAGGGGAAGGAGGAGGATGAGGATGAGGATGAGGATGAGGAGAGAGGAGGAGGAGGAGGAGGAGGAGGAGGAGGAGGAGGAGGGGGAGGAGGAGGAGGAGGAGGAGGAGGAGGAGGAGGAGGAGGAGGAGGAGGAGGAGGAGGAGAAGGATCGCTGGGGAGTAGCGCTGTCGAGCGAATTACCAGGAGGCGCAGGCGCCCTGCAGATCTCGCTGCCGATTTTCGCCTCGCTGGCCAAACCTTGGCAAGACGGTCGAGCCGGCTGGCCCTGAAGGAGGATGCGGGGGGAGGATGGGAAGGAGGATGACGTTGAAGATGAGGAGAAGGCTGGTCTGGCGCGCAAGGGCGCCTGAGAGGGGAGGGGGGTCCAGGATGCAACTCTTCGGAGGTGTATTTCTGCATCGGCGCTGGCAGATCCGTGGTCGACAGCGGGCACAAGCAAGCATCTTTTCTCGTTTCATCTGACGCTACCCTGCTGAGTCTGGCTCACAATCCCATTTAATCGGGCCTAATCCCCGGCCGAATCCGCCAAAGTCCTGGGCTTCATCAGGGTTTAATTCCTGAGTCGACGCAGTAGCCTATAGTCTTTCGTACGGAGACCTCACAGTAGTTGCCTCCTGAGAGGTGGAGGAGCCAGAGCGGGAAATGGAGCGGGAGCAACAGCGGGAGCGGGAGGGTGAAGAGAAAAGCTCGAGGCCCGAGCGTATACATGCCCACCGCGTTGGGGGACCGACGTCTGTGCCGCACACACCCACCAGGCGGTGCATCGGGAAATCCATGCGTGGCCTGAGGGTATCCACATCCACCGCTTCCCGACAAGCCAGAAAGGCTGGGGGTGACGACGACCCAGAGCAGGAGGAGGAGGAGGAGGAGGAGGAGGCAGGAGGAGGAGGAGGAGGAGGAGGAGGAGGAGGAGGAGGAAGAGGAGGAGGAGGAGGAGGAGGAGGAGGAGGAGGAGGCCCGGCGCCAGGCGCACGCGCCCGAGCCCGCCCCCACCGCCCACGCCGCCGTGGGGGGGGACAGCGTGCTTCCCCACGGCGGCGTGTCATCGACATCGACACGCTACAGCCGGGGCCCTGAAGCAGGAACCCTTTTCGTTGGGGGGGGGGGGCTCCGCGTTCCTTAAAGTGTGTCGCGGCTTGCCCTGGGTGTTCCTGATGTTTCCCATGGGAAATCGAAGCTTAACTTATGGACAAAAAGGGGCCTCGTTCCCTATTTAGGGCTCCTTAGGTCAACGCCCCGACTGTATCGTTGCTGCTCCCCCGCCGTGCGCCGCGAAGCCATCCGCCGCAAGGGGCGCCGCGCTGCGAGCTGCGCGGCCTCGCGGTCGGCGGCGGGCCCTCGGGCCAGGCGGCGGCGGCCGCCTCGGCAGCGTGCGTGCAGAGGAGGCGCGCTCTCGCTCGGTGCCTCCGACCGGCGAGAGGTCCGCCGCTGTTTGTAAAACGACGCGAAGATCGGGACAAAATCGGATCGGGAGAACTCGAAATCTCTGAGAATCGGCGGGTTTTGGAGGATGTATTGGGCGCCGCGGCCGCTCCAGAGCGTTTCGGAACGCTCTGAGAGCGCTCCCGAACGTTCTGGAACGATTTATCCCGATCCTAGCCTTGATTTAACGCCACCTCTGGTGCCCCCCCCTGTGCCCGTTTGGGCGGCCGCGCCAGTCACTATACAGAGGCCTGAGAGGCGTGCGGCTCTGGAGATGGCCGAGGGCACCCGCTCGGCAGCAGCGCGGCGGGGTCGCCCGCTCCCAGGAGAAGGCCGATTTGGATGGCACGGGGTCGCCCTGCCGTGTCATCGGTGGCGCGGCGAGCCACCGACCTGCGCGCCCAGGCCTCCTGCGAGGCCTCCCCGCGACAGGCTGTGCGTGCAGCCTCTGCGGCGGGCCACGGCGAGTCAAGGCCAGTGCTGGGGAGGCAAGGGGAGGAGCAGCAGCCGTATAGGGGGTGCATCCGTGGGCGATCTGGCCCAAGGGTTGCGCAATGTGCGCCAGTGCCATGCGGCCAGCTGCCCGCCTTGCAGCGGGGGCGCGCCCCAGGCGCGCACTCCGCCTGTTCGGCCCCCTCCTCTGAGATCCGCCGTTGCATGAAAACGCAAGATCGTGAAACTCACGGAGATGGGCCCAAGACCCAGTTCTTCTGCTGCATGTTTCTGGCCTCATCGACAATTCTGTGAGGGTCCGGGTGACGGAAGACGAGCAAGACTCCCGTTCTGGAAGAGGAAGTGCGTACGCCAGGATCTCAGGGTTCTCCTCCTCCTCCTCGCGCACGCGGCGCCGGGCGCTCCGCGGCGGCGGGACAGCCGCACTGCACGGTGCCAGGCGCTCGTGCCCGGGGCTTCCGCGCCGCGGCCGGGCACGCCCGCGCCGGTGGCGGGCCTGCTGGGGAAGGCGGCCGGGCTCGTCCACTCGCTGGGCGCGCCGCTGCTGACGCAGACCGTGAGCGGCGAGGCGCCCGCGCCGCCCGCGTGGCTGCGCGGCGACTGGGCGGCCTTCCTGCTCGGCCTCGACGCCGGCGCGCTGCGCTTCGCGGAGCGGGGCTCCCTGCGCGCCCTGCTGCTGCCCGAGGCCGAGGGCCATCGCCCTGCCGGCGGCGGCGCCCCGCCGCGGCTGCACGAGCGCCCGCCGCGCTCGCTGCTGCAGGTGGCGACCGGGCTGGAGGAGCTGGAGGCACAGCTGGTGCCGCCGCCGCCCGCCGAGCCGGCGACGCGGTCGTGGGGCATCGGCCGCGACAAGCTGGCCCAGGTGCAGGCGTTTGCCCGCGCCATCCCCGCGCGGTTCGACTTGGCCGGAGTGGCCAGGATCGTGGACGTGGGCGCGGGCAGGGGGGGCTTGACGCGGGAGCTGGGTGCGCGGCTGGGCCGCCCGTGCCTCGGGCTCGAGGTCGACGCCGCGAGGGTCGCGGCGGCCCGCGACTGGGCTGGCCGTGCGAGGGCCGACGGCGTGGAGTTCGAGGTCTGCGACGTGAGGGGCTCCGCGGCCTTGGCGCGGCGGCTGCGGGAGCGAGACCTCGTGGTCGGCCTCCACCCGTGCGGCGGCCTGGGCGAGGACGTGATCCGCGCGGTGTCCCAGGCCGCCGGCCAGGCGGCCGCGGGCCCTGCGCTGCTGATGGTGTCCTGCTGCCTGCACGGCAGGCCGTGGGCGCCGGTGGCGGACGTGCGCAGGCCTCTGTCGCGGGCGGGCCTCGGCCTGGCGCTCAGCCTGCCGCGCGCGGCCCTGAGGAAGACCAACGTGTGGGAGCCCGGAGAGGCGCCCGTGGGCCTCATCGGGGCGAGGCTGGGCCTGCGCAGGCTCCTGGCAGCGCGCGGCTGGGAGGGGCCCGACAGCTCCACGTCGCCCGGCTGGCGGGGCATCAGCGGCGCCCTGATCAAGGCCGGGCTCCGCGGCGGCCTCGCGGCGCGGGCGCTGGAGCTGCGCGGGCTGCCGCCGGCCAGCGACGCCGAGGTGCTCGCGGCGGAGGCCGCCGGCGCGGCCGCCACGCCGGCCTTCCGCCGCCTGGAGCTGCTGTCGCCGCTGGTGGGGGACGTGGTGGAGCTGGCCGTGAGCCTCGACAGGGCGTGCGCGCTGGAGGAGGCAGGGCTGCACGCTGCGGTGGGGCGCCTCTTCCCCCGCTCGTGCAGCCCGAGGAATCTCGCCATCTACGCGGCGGGCGCTGCCGCGCGCCCAAACATAGGAGCCAGCGCGTCAGGAGTTTTGGCCCCGCGTGTCGCACAGCCAGTTCTGGCCTGCCACGCCTGGGGTGGGCACGCTGTCCAAGCCCCCAGTTCCAAGCGTGAGCGTCCCAGGCTGTTCCCCGCCTGCCGCCACGCGGAGCGGAGCGACACGCCATCCGCTTGCAAGGCATGGCGTGTCGCCAGGGTGGTCACGCAATAGGCTAATTATGACGAGTTCCTGGGCTTACGATGAATCGCAGAAGTGGTGGGGACGGTGCAGTGCGTGTAAGAATCTACATGGTCGGGGCAGGCCCTATGAGCCGACGCCGAGACGGGCAGATGGCGGTGAGAATAGAAGCTGCGGCAAAGCAGTGAGTAGGTTGACCAGTAGAAGAGGGAATGCCGGCTTGCGGACAGGGGGTATTTCGTATAAGGCACATTCTAGGTATGTCGTTGTGGGTATTGGGTAGATGTTCGGTTGCATGTGTCATGCAACACGTTGTAGTCAGCAGGTCGCCAGTGTCGTTGTGTCAGTAAGAGTATAACAAGGTATGGACTGTGCATCAGTAGTCTTAATAATCGGCGTAGTATCGGATATAGCCAGGACCCCGGTTAAGGGGAGCAGGTTAGCAATTGGTCCCCCAAGCCCAACATATGTATTGGAATCACTAAACCAGGTCTGCCGTAAATGCTTGTCGGGTTACAGCAATTTCGGTTAGTGGAATGGGACGGCGGGGGCGCCCCCCGGTACACATCACTAAACCAGGTCCCACTAAACCCAGTTCTGCCAACGCCCGCTAGTAGCAAGGGCCTGGACAGGTGTAGCCATAAACGTAGGAAGAACCGTCATACTCGTTTCAGAAGCAATCGTGGTCGTTGTCGCGATGGCGTTTGCATGTCGCAGCCGAAGGGATTATCTTACTCGCATGTGCCATGGTTAGAACGGTGGTGGCTGTGGCAATCGCAGTGGTGGAAGTGTCATGGCCACGGTGGAATGTCCGTCGTGGTGTTGGTGGCAGTATCACGAGCTGTTGAGGCATCACTGCTGCGACCAGCTGTGCTCCAACCGCCAGTCGTGTTAGCAGTGGTGGCGGCGCGCGGAGGGGGGTATGGGGGAGGGGGGAAGGCCTCTTAGAAGCACCCCTGCTTTTAGAAGGCGCGGGCCTTCTCTATAGACGCAAGGCCAAGGCCTTCTAAGAAGCAGGGCGCTTCTAAGAAGCCTTCCCCCCTCCCCCCACCCCCCTCTGCGCGCCGCCAGCAGTGGTGGCAGCAGGGTGAGTTGCGCTGGGAGCCGTGGCAGTGGCAGCAGGCGGTGGCGGCAGCAGCAGCGGTGTTGGTTGCCCACCCGCGGGCAGAGAGCAGCAGCAGCAGCAGCAGCAGCAGCAGCAGCAGCAGCAGGAAGAGGAGGAGGAGGAGGAGGAGGAGGAGAAGGAGCAGGAGGCTCTCTCTCTCTCTCTCTTTCTCTCTCCCTCTCTCCCTCTCTCTCTCTCTCTCCTGTGCATGGGTGATCGCCCGAGCGTGCGCGGTCACCGCGGCTCCTTGGCCTCGAGGGAGGTGCTCTGGAGGAGGAGGCGGCCGCCGCACCTCCAGGGGCGGCTCCTCGTGCTCGACGTGGGTGCCGGCCGGTCAGCCGAGCCGCAGCGCTTCCTGGAGGCCGTGTTTTCGCCCTCCTCCGGCGGCGCTGTCCTGCCCCCCCGCTCCTCTCCCTCGTCGCAGCCTCTTCCCTCGTCTCCACTCTCCTCCCTCCTCTCCCCCTCCTCTCCCCCCCTCCTCCCTCTCGCTCCCTCTGCTCTCCCTCCTCTGTCCCTCCTCTGTCCCTCCTCTCCCTCCTCGTATCATCCTCCCTCCTCTCCCCCCTCCCTCTCCCTCCTCTCCCCCTCCTCTCCCTCCTCCCCCCTCCCGCCCCCCTCCACTCTCTTCCTATCCCTCCTCCCCCCCTCCTCTCACCCCTTCTCTCCCTCATATCCTCCTCCCTCTGCCCTTTGCCTCGGAGGCCCTCGATATGCTCGCGTCGCAAGAAAATCACGACGGGGGGGAGGCTCCTGAAATGTTCGCGTCGTGGAAGAATCACGACGGGTTCGGTAGCAATCATGGGAGCCTTGCGTACCCTCGCAATTCTGCCTGTAGGTACGGTTCGCGTCGATGAGCGTGGATTGAGCGTCGATTAGCGTCGATCTAGCGTCGGTCAGCGTCGATTTAGCGTCGATTAGCGTGAGTGTAGCGTCGATGAGCCCCGATTCGCAAGAGCCAACTCGATCGTATGGGAGACCCCCATGATTTACCACCGAAGGCGGAGGAGGGGAGGGGGCGTTTTCGGCTCCTTGGCAAAGGCCGTCGCCGTGCTCCACGGGAGGAAGGGCCGGCCCTCTCGGGGAGAGGGTCTCGGGGCTTCTTGGGACCCCGTGAATGGATCGGGGACATCGGAATGGGTACACATGGTTCATTTCTAAGTACTCGAAAGTTCTTCAAATTCTGGGGGCCGAGATCCATTCATTTCTAGTTCTTCTATCCTGGGCCTCTTCCTGGACACTAGGGGGCCAGGAACGATTAGAAACGAGCACAATTAGAAATGAGCACGATTAGAAGTGAACGACGTGTGCGGACATGAGTGGGCACAAAGACCGAGAGCAGTCCCTGTTCATTTTGAGCAGGACTCGCTGTCGGCGTCGCCGCGGATTATGTCCACTTGAGGGAGACGGCTGCCTGCTCGACATCAGCCGCCGTTGGTTGGGAACATGTTGTTGTGCATTGTACCCATGCTTTCCATACCCACATCGGGCGTCCGAATTGAATTCATGAGCACATCGCGTGTCTGGGTCTGTCCTTGCGTGCAAACTTGGGGGGGTCCCAAACGGTATGGTGATCACACCGCGTGGTGAGTCAGTGGCGAGTCGGGTCACCGAACAGTTTTGGGACCCGGGTCGTTCTCCGAGGACGTCTCGGGCGGCTGGGACCTCCGAGGTTCTAAAACCGCGCGGTTACAGGCCGCGCGGTCAGGTCGTTGGGGATTCCGAGATCACCACGCGGTCCGTCACCACACGGTGTTGGGGCCCCCGATTCCCCTCCTCTTTCTGCTCCTTTTTCCGCTCGTGTTCTTCCAACATTGTTCTGACTTCTCCACATCTTCGTCCTCTTCTGCCGCTTCTTCCCCTTACATTGCTTTTCATCCCCCTCCAGCGCGTCTCCCCACACATGGTCCTCTTTTAGTGGCCCGCCTCCTTCGTCCTACCTCTCCCTCCTTATGTCTCGTCCCTCTTCCGCTTGAGCCCCCCTCTCCTCTCCTCTCCTCAATGCCTCCTCTACCTGCTGCTGGTTGCCTCGCGCAAGCGCACACACGCAGTCGCGCCCCTGTTGCGTTCGCCAGCGCCCCGCCGCGGGAGGAGATCGCGGTGGCAGCATCCCCCCACCATCCCCCACCTCCCGCCTCCCTCCTCCCTCCTCTCCTCCTCCCTCCTCCCTCCTCCTCCTCCTCCCTCCCTCCCTCCTCCTATCTTCTCCCGCCTCCCTTCTCCCTCTTCCCTCCGCCTGCTCCTCCTCCGCCTCCGCCTCCTCCTTCTTTCTCCTCCTCCTCCT